AAACTAAACACTAACATTAAATTAATTTTTATTTGAAAATAATACTACTATAGATCATTATCCAATCGCAGTTTCCATCTCTAATCTAACCAAAACAAAATAAAAATAAAATACGTCAATTACAAAAATCTAAAAAACAATTTTTTTTAAATAAATTATCTAAAAACCACTTTTAAAAAAGATTGGATGAAAGAGGGACTTTTATAGTCTGTACATGAAAAACATAGATTGTATGATCAGCTAATCCAAGATTCCTAAGATAACTTAAAAAACAACGCTATACAAATTAAAAAAATAAATTAAGACTCTTAATGCAAAAAGAAATTATACAAAATAACGAATTGAAAAAAATAAGCCCTCTTCTTCATCACTTTGGAATGTAATTAATTCATTGTGCGGAAAAATAAAAGGAAATACAAAAATTGAATCGGTTAAAACCAAAAACACGAGAAACAATAACTGATAGAAAAGAAATTGCAAATGAATTTAATATACATTACAGTACATTAGGACAAAGGGATGAACAAAAACTACCCATTTGTAATGACCAGATTGAGGAAATAGATAAATTAGAAAGTAGCATGTATATGTATTTTGTTGACCAAAAAGAAGTGGTAAATGCAATACAATCTTTAAAACATAAAAAATCACCTGGCTGTATTGGTATCAAAACAGAAACCATCAAACAAATCAAGGAAGAAATTATTACTCCTTTAACTTTTCTCATTAATGCATGTTTTCAGGATGATTGTTTTCCAGAATGAAAAATAGGCAAAATCACACCTCTCTTTAAAACAAGAAATAAAGAAGACGTGATTAACTACTCTCTTTGTTATCTGTTGTTTCCAAAATAACCACTGCTAGAGAGTGGGACCCCCATGTCCGAAGATCAGACCGATCTCGTTCCAAAAGAGCAAGTCATTTGGCTCGGTACCTATCTGACCCCCAGGTTTTTCCACCACCCCTCCTCTACGTCTGACATACGCAGAGGTGGCTGTGAACTGTTATCGGGCGATTTGGGAAAAGAAACACCTTCCGTTTTTCATGACTTGTGGTGTTGGCCACCTAACTGTAGGGGTAGCTTAGTGTAGCTTTTCTCCCTACGTACCTATCTCTAGTACAATCTCGTCTTATATATGGGATTTTAGGATGGGGTGGAGTAAATGATTGCCATCTGGTAACCCTTCAAAATACTCAGAAATGGTTTCTTAAACTAATATATCGAAAACGAAAAACATATCCCTCGGACCAACTTTTTCATGAAACTCAGGTTATTGATGTTCGGCAATTGTACTGCTTAGAGCTACTTAAAAATATTCATAAAGATAAAATTCCTCTTAGAGTAAAAGTGTCAAATTATGAAACAAGAAGAAAATTGAATGTCGAATGACTTCACACTTTAAAACCAATCACGCAACGGTCAATTAAATACGCTGCTCCAAGAACATACAATCCATTGCTCATAAATTATAAAAATATCAACAATTTTTATTTGTATAAAAAATTAGTTACTGCTGGGGTAAAAGAAAAAAGGGAGTTGTAAATTATACTTGATGAAAAAATATAGAAATTGGATTAGAAACTGTAAAAATAAAAGAATAATTTGTAAAAAAAAAACAATAAACATAAACCTGTCAATATTAGACAGATTAAGTATTGACCTAGATATATCTATAGGTCTATAGTATATCTAGGTCATGTTATCAAACGAGGAAAACCAAATCAAGATGCTGAAATTAAAAGAATAACACAAGTGGCATGGGGCGCTTTCGGCAAATTAGCATATATCTTGAAAAATACCTCCATTACTGTAAACTTAAGAAAAAGGTGTATAACACATGCATACTACCAGTTTTTACCTATGACTTGAAGACAGTAGTCCTTACCAAAAAATCTACTAAACAATTAGAAACAACGCAAAGAGCAATGGAACGAATCGTGCTTGGAATAGCACTAAGAGACAAGATTAGAAACACCGAGATAAGACGTAGAACGAAGATTACGGATATTGTGGAAGAAATTACAAAAATTAAATGGCGCTGGGCAGATCACGTTGTAACACTTTTTTTATTATTAATATATCAAATTATTTTTAATTCCTTTTACCCCCGTGCGATACGCCGATGATTACGAATCCCCGTGTTTTCGATAGGAAAATATTATTGTAGACACCAAACTGAAATGGAATTCCCTAATTAAGAAAGGTTTTTAATCCTTCCGTCTTAATACTCTGTATGAAAAGAACAAATGCTTTCCGGTATGCAGTTTCTTTTTCATAAATTGGTAATTTTCGCCGAAGGCACTATCTTTTGACAATAATATAATCCTAAGGATTTTAGTATTCTCAGGTCCAATTGTTAATACCGATTATTTTACCTCAAACTTTCCAATAGTCGTTAAGGCCTTACCTTCTGAGAAATACATACGACTGTCCGATGATTTTAAGTGGGGGATATACCTTCTTCTTCTTTTTTCTTTGATAGTTGGTGAAATTTTTAGGGAACCAACTTACTTCTCGGTGGGCTCTTGTTGAGTGAAGTGATATCTCGTGATGCGCTTTGCTCACGATATTTCTTATCTTATCGTCGCTGTGAATTATTTTCTAAGTGTGTGTACACTTCATATTTGAGTTTTCTTTCCTTAGACTATATTAAATTATATATAGTTCTACACTACCTTTAATGGTTATTAAATTCAGTGTTTAGTACCAGAAAAGTATTAAATTCAGTGAATTAAGCTGCCTTCGTCAAGATCTACTGTAAGTAATCTTTATCTACAATTATCTGGGCGAGTAATATGATACGGTATCATATCACCTGCCATTATCTGGACGTATCATCTATATCTTCACCTGTAGATTGCCGATTTTTGAATGTAATTGAACCATTCAAGAAATTTCTATAAATATTACCTATGAACATACAAGTCTCAGTTTTTTATTAAATAATAGTGCGAGATAGTTAATTGACTTAACCAAGTGCGGTTTGGTTTATGTTTTTATTCCTGTAACCTTTTTGTTTTTTTTTTGTAAATTTAGAGTTAAGTAATTTTTGCTATCTTTTGTATTTCCTATAATTTTTGTTCATTATCTTTCCTATGATATCTCGAGATACGCCAAACTATATTTGTATATGATTGCCTTATATATCTTGGTAAAGGTATTTTTTTATTACATTATTGCTTAATTTTATACATATATAACACCATTTCATAGTTGTGTATTTTTATTACCTGTGTTGCATTTAGCAGCATCATAATTTTGTGTTTAATATATTGTTATTGTTTTATGCATGTATTTTATTTGTCGGCTCCTAACAAGTTCCCTGATAAAATAATAGCTCTGAACAATTACTATCTTTAAATATTACTATGCTTTTGAACTGTAGAAAGATCAGGCTGATTAAGTTTCGTAGTTAAGTAAGTGTAATACTTAATATATTTATTATTTGTTTATATATTGCGTTGACCAGATTTATTTGATAATTTACTGTTGGTATCTTTCCTTGGGTTTGATCTTTAAACCTAAATATCTTTTCTTATCTCTTTTCTTTTCCAAGGTTTTCTTAATTTTCTCCTTAACCCCAAAAAATTGAGTGGCGCCCTGTTTCTATCTTCTCTTATCTTTGGTAATTTTACCCATCTATCTTTTTGTTTATTTCTGTATCTTTTCTAATATCTCTTATCCTATCTTTACCTATTTCTTCCGTTGGATCCATTCCCGGTTCCAAAAGCTAGTTTCGAACCCACGACTCGCTCTCCACCAACCATCTGGCTGCCGTCCGTAGTGTCTCCATTGGTTATCTTTCTAGCACCACCCAAAAAAGATTTCCGAGGTTACAACGTAGCCCGATATAATAACAACAGGTGGACACGGAGAATTCTAGAATGGAGACCAAGGACGACAACAAGAAGCATGGGAAGACCTCAAAAAGGATGGGTAGATGACATAAGAGCAGTGGCAGGCAAACAGTGGATTAGATTGGCGCAAGATAGAAAAAGATGGAAGCAATTGGGAGAGACCTACATTCAGGAGTGGTGGAAAATGACTATCAATTTGAATAAACGTATATTATATATTATAGTGTTTACAATTTACAGTATCTATAGGGTTGTACCTGTAGAGTTGTATATTGTTGTTGGTGAGATTTTATTCTTTCGCGTTCTTTGATTGGTTTCTCATCTTTCCTCAGATTTACCAACTGATTCTTTGTTTTAGTATAACTTTAAAGCCAGCAATTCATTATCTTTCTTTGTCTGCTTATTTTGTCAATATCTGGGATTTTATTTTTTTATTTTGCACCGTTTTCTAATATCTATTAGCGTATCATAACCCTAAATTTCTTACAAACTGTTTATATTATTTATTTTTATAAATGGTGCATATAAAATTATATGTATACAATTATTATTTATGTATATATAACTGTATATACAACAGCCCAAAATTTTCTACACTAAGTAATATTCCATGTTAAAATTTTTAAAATTAAAAGATTTTTTAAACCGCTAACAATTTTATCAAAAAAAATTATAATTCATTTCTAACCACCAAAGCTGCAAAAGCAAATATGTTGCTTCCGCTAACCGGATTTTTTCTAATTGCTTCAGTGGAAGCAACATTAAATATTGAACCATTGACGGACTTACATACTGTACAGTCGTTAAACAAGTGTGCTGCTGAACTATGTCGTGACTATTTTAGAGATCACTTCCATAAAGCCGTTATTCTCATTTTCGAAAACTCTACAAAAGGTATGCCTTTTCGTTCATTGCTATTAAAAGAAATTGCCAATGAAAAGAAACCCTACTACATCTTATCTCTGACAAAATCATTATTCAATTTTAGAAAAAAGTTCAAAGGTATATTCAAATATATATTATTAGAAATATCATCTGTTGATAAATTTAAAGAAATCATTAATACAATGAAAACATTACTGGGTTGGAATTTTAAAACAAATATTTTAGTTGTATCATTTACAGCATTTCAAAATTCCAAAATGATTGCGAATATAATTTTCAACTTACTTTTAAAAGAAGATATAGTTCCAACAGCTGTTTTGCTAATAGACCAAAATAATACAAAAGACTTTAATATCTTTACAACGGTATTAAATGCTGAAGCCCCAAAGTCGATTGCATGTAGAAGAGTAGTAAAAGAAAATGGGATATATAACGAAACCGCATTTTTAGGTAACAAGTTTCAAACAATTAGAGCTAAATTAGTCCCCTTTCCTCCTTTTGTTATATACAATGGTAGCTCATTTGACATAAATCATCCAGGAACAGAGGTGAAGCTGTTACGAACACTAGCACAAACCTGTAACCTTAATGTGGAATACTATTTATCTGATCCTAAACATACTAGAGGAAATGTTTTCGATAACGGAACTCTAACAAAAGAATTTAAAGAGTTGCATGAGAATAAATACGATGTACTTTTGGGTGGACGTATTATTACATATCCCAGAGCACTGTACTTAAATCCTAGCCCTTCCTACTGCACCGATGAGTTGGTATGGTGTGTTCCAAACAGGCAATATTACAAATATAACATAAACATTCAAATAGCAGTACTTCTTATTGGCCTACTAATACTTGTAATCTTAGTAGTTTTTATTTGGTACGCTAACAGAAGCAAAGAACCAAGATTGAAGTTTGGTACATCTGTAGAAGGAATCATCCTAAATAGCTTTTCCATATGTTTATTTGTTGCTATTCCACGTCTGCCAAAAACTGACAGATCAAGATACTTGGTTGGTTTGTTAATTCTTTTTGCATTTTTTTGCACTACAATGTTCACTACGACTATAACAAGTTTATTTATAGGAAAAGTACCATCACAAAAGTTTGATTCGATGGGAAGAATATACAAGAGCAATTTAAAAACTTATTATACAACAAATACTTTCCGCCACTTCACTGATATATTGATTCCAGGAATATCCAAAGAGGAACTAGTAAAGAGAAAAATTGATTGCCAAGATACTCTGAAGTGCTTGAAGGGCATTGCAGAAGAAGATTCGGCTGTAGCGGTCTTAAAAAACAATGTGAAATATTTACTAAATACGAAAAATGTTGAACGAACTTCGATTTATTGTTTTCATTTTAAATGTGGCAGATCGGTGGGCCTTATAATGAGGAAAGGCTTCAGGCACGCAGATAAGTTTAATAAAATTATCCACGTATTGCTGTCTATGGGAATAGTTCAAAAATGGTATCACGAGGTTTTTTGGAACAACCATCGTGAAACTAACCTAGATGTTCAGAAACTTAACCTAGAAGAACTTTCTGTAGTGTTTTATATTCTAATATTTGGTTACAGCTGTTCATTTCTAATGTTCGTCTGCGAAATTTTCACATGAGATTAGATAATTCAGTGCCTCACTTTTGTGCTTAATTACTAACCATTATGGCTTCGTACAACATCACCCTCGATATTGGTACTAGTCGTAGTGAAATATTGTTCTTCTTGCCACTTTCATATTTTCTCATTGTCAGATTTCTCACATTGTTGTTCTTGTCACTTTTATATTTTAAAAAATTTAGACGTTGTTTTATACAAAAATGTATCCTATAAAAGAATTAAAAATATCATTTATTAGCCGACTTTATTAAGAACTTATACAACGAATAGTGTATGAATGCAGTCTAGTGAAACCCCTAAAATACTCCAAAATGTTGTCTAATTTTAAACAGCGTCTTAAATGGAGGACATTAAGGTCACGTCACGTCAGTGTCCAGGCTTAAAGACTGGACACTGACGCAAGCCACTGAAAAAACATCGAAGCCTTCGAGATGTGGATATACAGAAGGATACTAAAAATATCTTATGTGGACCATGTCACCAACGTTGAGGTCCTACAGCGCATGGCAAAAGAAAAATAAGTGCTTAATTTAATTAAACAACGTGAGCTTGAGTACCTCGGCCACGTGATGCGGAACGAAGAAAAATATCGAATTCTTCAACTCGTTATGCAGGGTAAAGTATTTGGCAGAAGAGGACCGGGACGCCGTCGTATCTCGTGGTTGAAAAATCTTTAACAATGGTTTGGGATGACCTTAAAGGAGCTGTTTCGCAGAGCAGTCAACAAAACCATGATAGCCTTGATGATCGCCAACATCCGGACCGGATAAGGCACTGAAGAAGAAGAAGAAGACTTAAATTTTACGGACGTTGGTGGATATCATTTTGAACATTTAAGTAAATAGCTATAGCTGATAAGTAAATTGTGTTGAATTGTCTTCTTTCTTCTTCCTACTTTATAAATAGACTTAATGCCTGTTTTACTTCGGTTTTTAGCCTCAATTGGCGTTGTCTGACCATCTTTTCCTCGGTCGTCCCAATGATCTTCTTCCATTTGGCGATTTTTCTCTTGCTGTTCGTACTATTCTATTTTCTGTCATTCTTTCGATGTGTTGATTCCACTTTTCTTCTTTTGGTCCACCCGTTTATTTCCTTACTTCTAACTCTGTCTCTTAACTTAAGAGTTTGGTTTGTTATTTTTCGTAAGAATTTTATTTCTAGTGTTTCCAGCAGTCTTTGTGTTTTCGCCGTATCTACTCTTGTTTCCGCTGTGTACGTCATTATCGGTCTTACTGTTGATTTATATATCCTGGTTTTCGTTTCCGTTGTGAGGTATTTGTTTCTCCAGATTGTGTTGTTGAGACATCCTGCTGCTCTGTTTGCCATGTTCACTTGTTTTTGTACTTCTTTCTCCACTTTTCCGTAGCCTGACAGTTTTATTCCCAAGTATTCAGATTCCATCACTTTTCATCACCTATTATTTTGTTATTTACGTCGTCTCGGTTCCGCTGATATTACTATCGCTTTAGTTTTCTCTGTTGAGATCACCATGTTGTATATGAGCACCAGTTAATCTTTGTAGGTCATCTTCATTTTCGGCTGTTAATATGGCGTAGAATATTATCCTTATTTCCTTTTCTCAAATTCTATATCCTCTTCTTTTTTTAACATTCTTTATGATTTCATCCATTATCATATTAAATATTTATGGGCTCAGCGAATCTCCTTGTCTAATGCCAGTTTCATATTTGATAGGTTGCGATAGTTTTCCTTTACATCTTACCATAGCTATGTTATCTTATATATATATATATATATATATATATATATATATATTATATATATATATATATATATATATATATATATATATATATATATTCTTAATGGTTTTTACTAAATTCAGTAATATTCTCCTTTCATATAATAAATGTATCACGTCCCGGATTCTCACGCTATCAAACGCTTTCTTCAAATCTATCAGACACATATTTAAGCTGGTTTGTTGGATTCCAGCGACTTTTTTTATTTGTCTTATTACTGCATCCGTGCATGATCTTCTTCCTGCCCGAAATCCTTGCTGTTCCTCTTGCAGAGAAATTCGTTCCTTTATTTTTGTCGCTATTATTCTTGTTGTCAATTTGAGTGTTGTATTTAATAGATTTTTTGCTCGATAATTATTGGGGTCTTTCTTATCTCCTTTTTTAAAGAACATCACCATGATCGCTCTCCTCCATTCATCTGGTATTCTTTTTGTGGTAATTATTTTATTAATAAGAAGTTGCAGTTGTTGTACAAGGTGATCAGATCCATATTTTAAAAGTTCATTTGGTATTTGATCTTCTCCTGGTGTTGAATTGTGAATTGATTAATTTAAAATTTAGTTCATTTTAATTACGTTAAATTTAATAAAAGAGAGTTTTTAGGCCCTTTACTTTTTGATGGTCGTTAAACGTAAAACGTTATACTTGTCATGCGCCTTGAATAATAAAAAAGGGATAACGTTTTTACTTAAAATAGTTTTTGAATCCTTTCAGAAATTAAGCTGTGACAGATTAACGTTAATTGACATTTGACGAATGTAACCTATAAAACGGCAGTTATACCACGTATTTATACTGTGACGTTATACTCTATAACCTATTTTATTTGAATAATTTGCTATAATCTAAGAAAGTAGACGATGAAGACACAGAGAAGTAATAGATTACAATTTGATAAGAGGCTTAATTCTTCACAATATTTTTGATCCTATAATACCTGTTGCACCAAGACTACATTTTGTGTTGGAAACAATTGAAGAGAAAGATGCTGTGCTGAACTAAATTTTCTATATTTTTTTTCTAGTTATCTTTGGTTCTGCTCTTAGACAAGGAAAGACAGCTGCTCATATGACTTTTTTTTGTTTTTTATGATTTAGATATCTGGCAGTTGACAACATTACAAACACGTAATCCCTTAATAACGTTAACCTTATCTTTACCTAAATAAGGGAATACCTTATCCGCTAATAAAGTAATCCGTTATTTTTCTATTAATGCGCATGAGCAGAATAACTTATAACGTTTAACGTTACTGAAATAAGGGGCTTTAAAAACTCTCTAATGTTTCCTATTAATGTTGCAATTTTAGTTTTAATGTCGTTTTACGACGGAACTTACGACGACGACTCTGCAAACGAAAAATGGAATTAAGATTAGGAACGTGGAACACCCGAACCCTGTACCGAGCTGGAGCACTCGCATCTCTACTAGACATAGTGAACATGTACAGAGTAGATGTTTTGGCACTGCAGGAAATGCGATGGAGGAGAACAGGCATTCTTGACAAGAGAACCCACTCCATATATTACAGCTGCAATGAAAACCAACACATGTATGGAGTGGGATTTATAGTAAACCAAAGAACTAAAGGCCTAGTTATTAATTTTAAAGCATACAGTGAAAGAATGTGCTATTTACGCTTAAAAGGTAAATTCTTTAATTACAGTTTAATTCATGTACATGCTCTGACCGACGACAAACTAGAAGACATTAAAGAACAGTTTTTCGAAGACCTAGAACAAGCCTACAGAAGATGCCCCAGAAATGACATCAAGATAGTGCTAGGTGACATGAATGCAAGAACAGGACGAGAGTGTGTTTTTATGCCGACTCTAGGAGGGCATAGCCTACACAACATCAGTAGCGATAATGGATTACGACTCATAAACTTAGCAGCAGCACTGAACATGACCGTCGCTAATACCTATTTTGAACACAAGAATATACACAAATATTAAACAAGGTAATCTGGACCTCCCCTGATGAAAGAACAACTAGTCAGATTGATCACATCTTAATAGATTCAAGACACGGAACAGACATAACGAACTGAAGAAGTTATAGAGGTGCAAACATAGACTCAGACCATTGTTTAGTGATTTCAACACTAAGGACTAGAATTTCAAATTTCAACAAAGAAAAAAAAATAGAAAGAAATGGAATGTACAGAAGCTAAAAGATGCAACTATTGCAAAACAGTACTGGGAAAATATTACCAATCACTAAATACCAAACCAAATCACTGGTTTGACGATGAATGCAAAGACGCAACACAGAAAAAAAAATGAAGCCTATGCAAAAATGCTTACCCGCCGAACTAGAACAAGTATAGAGAATTATCTGACAAAGAGAAGAGAAGAAAAGAAACTACACAAAATGAAGAAACGAAACCACTTAAAAAAGGAATTTCAATATAGAAAACCTCAACAGAGAGAAAGAATTCAGAACATTATATAAGAAAATTAACATCAAAAGAAAAAAATTCAAGGCAAACATAAATTAATGTAGAAGTTTGAATGGCGATCTATTAACAACAAGAACAGACCTACTAAATCGATGGACGGAATATTTTAACCAGATACTTAATATAGAGGAAGAAGAAGAAAACCCGGAAGACGAAAGCTGTGAGGTAAGCGGAGCAGACGAAAGGGAGAAGGATCCACCAACGATCCTGAAAGTTAAAGACGCTGTAAACAAGCTAGCCAGAAACAAATCACCCGGAATAGATAATCTCCCAGCGGAATGATATAAAGAAGATGGCCACGATATCATAATAGCGCTACAGCAGCTTATAAAAGAAATATGGATACAGAAGTCCCTTCCCAGTGATTGAAATATTGGAATACTTTGCACCATACACAAAAAGGGAGACATCGTTGAATGCTCTAACCATCGAGGAATTACGCCCCTAAATGCAGCGAATAAAATATTCTCCAATATACTATGCCATCGTATGGCATCATATGCAGAGCGAATAATAGGACAATATCAGGCTGGTTTCAGAGGTGGTAAATCAATAATTCATCAGACTTCAACCCTGAGACAAATTCTAGAGAAAACACTGGAATACGGTGTAGACACGCACCAAATATTTATAGACTACAAGGCAGCCTACGACTCTGTAAATAGAAGAGACTTGTTTATAGCAATGATAGACCTAGCAGTACCAAATCAGTTGGTAAGTCTAACCAAACTAACACTTTAAAAACTGGAATGCAGAGTAGGAATCCAGTGAACCTTTTAAAACAAATAACAGGCTACGTCAGGGGAAACCCACTCTCCTGTATACCATTTCATCTAGCTCTGGAAAAAGTAATACGTACGTCACAAATCACAACTACCGGTTCAATATACAGAGTGGCCCAAAAGTCTGGAAACAGCCAATTATCTCGTAAATTGCTAGTTATAATTGTATAAAATTTGAGGTACACCTATTTTGGAATACGGAGATTCCATATTTGATATTTGCAATGTTGCCAGTTTCTGTTATATTATTAGTAACTTTGGTTTTTTAAATGCATCACCCTGTATATTTAGTCATTATTAGAATCTCCTATTCAATACGAGTTCAACCATATGCAACACTTATGATAATCTGAAAGGTCTTAAATACATAAAACACAAGTCTGGCAACGTCTAATTGTTTCAATAAATTTTTTAATACTAATTATTTTCAACTACATGAAAACGTAACAATTGATAGATTGGAACATTTTTTAACAATAGTTACGTTATTAAGTCTTCAAAATGTGCTGAATTTATCAGTTGAAGTACCCTAATCGATGGTATATGAAGAACCCTAACCTAACCAGCAAGGCTTGCAGCGCTAAGGCAACGAATTATCGATTAATCTCAAATAATTTCAAGACAATCATGGAGAAATGTGGTAGACGCATTCTACCATCGATTAGGATACTGTCAACTCACAAATTGAGCACATTTTGAACACTTAATAACGTAACTATTGTTAAAAAATGGTCTAATCTGTCAATTGTTACGTTTTAATGTAGTTGAAAATAATTAGTATCAAAAAATTTATTGAAACAATTAGGCGTTGGCAGACTTCTGTTTTATGTATTTAAGACCTTCCAGACTATAAAAAATCATAAGTGTTACATATAGTTGAACTCGTATTGAATAGAAGATTCTCATAATGACTGAATATACAGAGTGATGCATTTGAAAAACCAAAGTTACTAATAATATCAGAGAAACGGCATATCTGGCAACATTGCAAATATCAAATATGGAATCTCCGTATCCCAAAATAGGTGTACCTCAAATTTTGTACAATTATAACTCGCAATTTACGAGATAATTAGCCGTTTCCAGACTTTTGGGCCACTCTGTATGACAAATCTCTGCAAATCCTAGCATATGCTGATGATATTAATATTGTTGAACGGAAAACACAGCACGAGAGGCGTACGTAGCACTAAAGGAAGCGGCTACAAAAATGGGTTTAATAATAAACACCAATAAAACGAAATACATGAAAATAGGTACGCAATCACAAATAATATGGCCACTTGTTATAGAAAACGACGTCATCGAAGCAGTTAAGAAATTTGTACAACTGGGAACGCTCGTCAATACTGAAAATGACACTACCGCAGAGATAAACCGCAGAATTTGCACGGCTAATAGATGTTATTTTGGGCTTAATCTCCTTTTTAAATCTACAGTTATATCAAGAAATACAAAAGTAAAACTCTACAAAACAATAACAGACCCAGTCCTAACATATGGTTCAGAAAGCTGGACTTTAACCAAAAACAATGAAAACATGTTAGGATGTTTCGAAAGAAAAATACTTAGGCGAATCTATGGACCAGTAAATAAAAATGGTGTCTGGAGACGACGATACAACTTCGAACTCTATAGAATATACCAGGAACCAGATATCGTAAAACACATTAAGATAGGACGTCTGAGGTGGGCAGGCCATCTAATGCGGATGGAGCAAACCGACCCAGCTAGAAAAACGCTCCTTGATAGATCTATCGGTTAAAGAAGAGGAAAACCCAGAACAAGATTCCCAGATAACATAGATCAAGATATGAGAAATATAGAAATACGTCTTGGCGGAGAAAGGCGATGGATAGGGACGACTGGTAAAAAATTCTTGGGGAGGCCAGGACCCACACAGGGTTGTAAAGCCAAAATGATGATAACTGTTGTCTAAACAATGTAGGTGTGTTCCTAACGTCGAAGATTCAATTTATTGTCAGTGCTTAAAGTGCACGTTCGTGTGTGTGCGAGTTCCCTTTGGAGGATCTAATGCGTTTACATAAAAGTGATAATATTGTGAACCCGACCAAATTGAAAAGTCAAAAAGTATAAGAGATAAAATATAGATTTGATTGACCTCGCAATATTCTTTCTTTTGTTTTAGTTTCGGAACGCGACCTAACTCTGTATACTGGTTAACCGTTGATATTTTTCAGAAAATGATAAAAACAGTTTTTTATTACAAATAGACCTACCTAGACCTAAGAAAAATCATCAAAATCTAATTATTCGTTATAAATCCATAAATCCATAAATCTCCTTATATTTTTACTTATAAATCTACTCATAAATCTTCTCATTAATCTGTTTATAAATTATGATTTTGTTATTCCGTATCATATTTGTATTAAAATCATTATTATTATCAATATTATCATAATTTTTTTATAAAATGTTATGGATTTCGATATTTTTATAACATCATGTCGAACAAAATGTTCTAATCTAAATGCAAAACAACACTCTACACTCTATTAAGGAACTGCTTCCCAACTAAAACGCTTATCTTACAAAAACGGTAGCCGGTTTTGGTTCAACGGAGTAAACGTCGCCGTATTTAAAGCATTCTACAATATATTTTTTCCGAGACTATACCAGTTCGTCATGATCGTTATTTACGAAAATGTTATGTCCTATACCAGCACACAATTTTTAACCCTAAGTAATATTATATGTTACATGAACTAATTTTACACACGCAAAAGTTATTCTGTAAAATACTAACAAATTTTATTCAAACAAATTGTAAATTAAAGCATCACCGTAAAAGTTGTAAAAGAAAAATATGTTCGTTCTGATAGTCAATTTATTTTTAATTCCATCAACTGAAGCAATATTAAACATTAACCCCTTGACAAACTTAAGTACTATACATTCATTAAATATGTGTGCTGCTGAACTGTGTCAAAACGATTTTAGAGATCAATTCCACAACAGCGTTATTGTCATTTTCGAAAACTCTACTAAAAGTATGTATTTTCGTTCATTGCTATTAAAAGAACTATCCAATCAAAAGAAGCCGTACTACATCTTATCTCTGACGAAATCAATACCAAATTTTAGAACAAAATATACAGGTATATTAAAATATTTACTATTAGAAATTTCGTCTGTTGATAAATTTAAAGAAAGTATTAGTACAATGAGAATACTACCAGGTTGGAACCCCAAAGCGAATTTTTTAATTGTATCATTTACAGTATTTAAAAATTCCAAAATGATTGCGAATATAATTTTCAACTTACTTTTAAAAGAAGATATAGTACCAACAGCTGTTGTACTAATAGACCAAGATACAAAGGCCTTTAATATCTTTACAACTGTATTAAATGCCAAAGCACCAACGTCAATTGCTTGTAGAAGAGTAGTAAAAGAAAATGCAAAGTATTACCACACTACATTTTCAAATAACACTTTTAAAAGAGTTAGAGCCAAATTCTACCCCTTTCCTCCTTTTGTTATATACAATGGTACTTCTTTTGACATGAAGCATCCAGGAATAGAGATAAAGCTGTTACGAACATTAGCGCAAACATGTAACCTGACTGTGGAATACTACTTATCTGATCCTAAATGTACTAAAGGAGAAGTTTTTGATAACGGAACTCTAACAAAAGATTTTAAAGAGTTGCATGAGAATAAATACGATGTAATTACGGGTGGATATGTTGTTACATATCCTAGAGCACTGTACTTAAATCCTAGCGCTGCCTACAGCACCGATGAGTTGATATGGTGTGTTCCAAACAGCCAATATTACAAATACAACATAAACATTCAACTAGTGGTACTCATGGTTGGCCTGCTAATACCTGTAGTCTTAGTGGTTCTTATTTGGTATGCTAACAGAAGCAAAGAAGCAAGATTGAAGTTTGGTACATCTGTAGAAGGAATCATCCTAAATAGCTTTTCCATATGTTTATTTGTTGCTATTCCACAACTGCCAAAAACTGACAGATTAAGATACTTGGTTGGTTTGTTAATTATTTTTGCATTTTTTTGCACTACCATGTTCACTACGACTATAACAAGTTTATTTATAAGAAAAACACCATCACAAAAATTTGATTCCATGGAAAAATTATACAAAAGCAATTTGAAAACTTATTATACGACAAACACCTTCCACTATTTCAGTCATGTGTTTATTCCAGGAATATCCAGAGCGGAACTAGCACAAAGAAAAATTGATTGTTCAGATACACTTAAGTGCTTGAATGCTGTCGCAGAAGGGGACTCAGCCGTTGTGATTTCGAAATACAATGTTGAATATTTAATGAGTGTGAAAAAGGTTGACCAAAGTTCGATTTGTTGTTTTCATTTTGGAAATGGCAGACCTTTGGGCCTTATAATGAGAAAGGGCTTTAGACATGCAGATAAGTTTAGTAGAATTATCCGTTTATTACTATCTAAGGGGATAGTTCAAAAATGGAATAACGAGATTTTTGGGCACAATCGTCGTGAAACAAACTCGGATTTTCAAGGACTTAACCTAAAAGAGCTTGCCGTAGTGTTTTATATTCTAATATTTGGTTGCAGCTGTTCATTAATGATATTCATTTGCGAAATTTTAACGCGATATTAGGTATGTATAGGTTATTCCACGAATATATGACTGTTTTGGATTATTACGACAACGAATATTTTACTGTGCCAGTAGAAGTTTGAAAGTAAATTGGTCTAAACAGTATTTCAATAAAATGGATCTACTGTTAGTTTGACACGTAAACTAAAATTATTTTAGTTAATAGATGTTCAGATAGACGCAAAATTTATTGTGAAATTTAATCCGAAAATAACAAAAATTTTTACGCAAACGGTCCTACAAATAAATGCAATGACGTCTATAAAGCTAAAATGTGTTCATAAGACATTTGGGTTGGGTTTCCGTGAAATGTAAACACCAAAGAGGCGTGCCGGGTTTCTTTGATATTACAATCTTTTATTACTTTATTAGATACTGCAACTGTAATAAAAAAAATATACTATTTTTAATATAAATGAAAAGAAATTGGCAGAATAATGGTTCAGAAACCAGAAAAAGGATCTAATATTTTACTTTGTTAGTTTTAAATATTTGTTTGCTTTGTGTGAATGTACTCTTAAAAGTTTCGAAAGTAACGGGTATAACATACCAACTGTTGATAGTTAAAGTACCGAGTCGTTACAGATTAACAAGTAACGAAAATTTACATACAGTTTCATATATCGCTGACTGATTTTAATTTAAAAAAAAATCCGTATAGAGGTGTCCGGTAAAGGGAGGTGCCGTTAAGAGAGAGTATAGTGTAGTGTATTTGTTTATTGAAGCCAAAATTGCCGAGACGTTTTTAGATATAGACAACTTTATATTTAATATATTTTCTCATTGTAAAGTTCTGTGAATCTGATGGTTGATGATAGTTTTAGGAGGTTAGGAGAATTAGAGAATAAGTAAGTTTTTTTTGTTTTTTTAATACTAATTTAATATTCGACTAAATAAATTACACTATTTAATCACCGAAGTATTGTTACACTTTTTAGATATAGACAACTTTATATTTAATGTATTTTCTCATTGTAAAGTTCTGTGAATCTGATGGTTGATGATAGTTTTAGGAGGTTAGGAGAATTAGAGAATAAGTAAGTTTTTTTTGTTTTTTTTAATATTCGACTAAATAAATTCCACTATTTAATCACCTAAGTATTGTTACACTTCGTTTAAATCACTTAATTCAAACGCCAACTTGTTTACAATACTAAACTCAATGATAGTAATTATATACTTCAAAATCTGAATTTACAACTGTTCTATAAACTATCAACTCTGTATTTATATCATGACTTCATATTTAATAAGGTTTATATCTATCGTAACAGTATTTTAAAAATGGGGAGAATTTACTATTGTACAATTCAGTACATTGGACCACTTAAATCGATACCTTAAACAAAATTTAAAACAGTCGTATATTCGTGGAATGGAGTATAGTGCGTTAATTTTATGATAAGCCACCAACTATTAATGCTTTGCACATACCATAAAAGCCACTCCGCTCATGATATCGGTATTAGTCGTGGTGTCGAATTAAATCACATTGAAAACTTTTAGAAATCCAAATTTTGCTTGAAATAAAATATAATATTTTAAAATGTTCAAAGAAAATGTCAGAGTTCTTCTCTATTCTCGTTTAATAAATACATATTACAAATTACAATTTTTTTTATTTATAAAATGTGTTGTTTATAAAATAGAATTAACAACTTATGTCATATATTCCGCCTGGGGTTATGAGCGCGATGACTGGGTGGATTGAGTAGCTCAGAAGTCGCGTTCATACCCGCAGCCGGTCCCAAGCCGGATAAAAGAGAAGGGTTGATGGGCCAAATTAGCATCTTACCCATTGTAAAAGGAAACAAGGCTCAAAGACCCGATATTAAGCCTCGGAACCAGACGGAACCTAAGATGACGAACCACGCAAAGAAAAGGAAAACGAGAAGGAAAAATAATCCCACAATCAGATTAGCAACATGGAACATTACTTCTTTCAACAACAAAGACCAAAAGATAACAGAAGAACTGATAAATAAAACATAGACATTTGTGCAATCAAAGAAACCAAGAAGAAAAGTAAAGGCCAAAGAGAATATAACCAATATTTCCTAGCATACAGTGGAGTGAAGAAAGAAGAGCGTGCACGAGCAGGCGTAGGTATACTTGTCCATAAAAAATTTAAAGACAACATAAATAACTGCCGTTATATCTCAGAAAGAATAATACATATGAACATCACAATGGACTACCAAAAATTAAATGTCATATATATCTATAGCCCCGAGGACTGCAAACCTAAGGAGGAACGAGAGGTATTCTACGAACAATTGCAAACCATCATGGATGAAATACCTCATGAAGAGCCGTTAATTCTTATGGGTGACTTTAATGCACGAATCGGAAATGAAATAGTTCCAGGAGTAAAACAAAGATTTAATGAAAATATGTCAACGCAAATGGAGAACTCATGGCTAATCTCTTTTAACTCAGAATGAAGCAGAAGAACTGCTTTTAACGAACTCAGAATCAGTAATACATTTTTCGACCATAAGCATCAATATAAATATACATTTTGTAACGAGTCCGTTACTTAAATACCCACTTACTGTCCTGTCACTGGAATCCTTTAACTTAATTATAAATTAAATTCATTTTGAAATATGCTTAAAATTCAAATAACTTCAGTAAATTTTATGCCTAAAAGTTGGCAGCAAGTTGCGCCCTCTATGTAAAAATTCTACTTCGTTTCCGCGGTAACATCGTGGTGTGCTACTTACTTGATCTTGGAATCGTGAAGTGAGCAGACGTGTTCAGAGGCGGCTGTGGGGGCCATCTTTATTCCATGAGTTTAGTTTAATTTTTTTTATTTTTTGGAAAAGCAGTTGTGTTGGAAGAAGCCTTTTTGTTGTTTTGGGAAAATACTTTAAGTTTGGACCACAGCCGGTGAGTTTTAAATTATAAATAAATTATATATAAAAACATGTCACATCATCCGCCATTGTTGGTGAAATTTAAATCTATTTCTTTAATCCTCTTTCAAAATACATTCTGGTCTATTTAACTATTCCATTTATTTCCTAAATACCTCAACAGATTACAAGTAATAAATTTTTATAATTTTATTTCTTTACAAGTATGAAAACCAACAATTATCTATTATAATTCCATACCGTTTAAACCGGCTAATACTTTTTTTTTCGATTCTATAATCTATATACCAGGCGTTCCTTAAAATTACCTAGTTAATATATCCAAACATTTTCATACAGTCCCAAGGTTATTTTTTTTAAAGAAACACATTATAGTTTTTGCTTCAATTTGAAGCAACGTGTGACATTTCTTGGTTTTTCTTTACTTTCTTGTATGAACAAAGGACTTTGTAGTAACACAACTGTGTTTTTTTTAGCCTAGTTACGGATTCCAGGACAAGTCGGGGGGCAAGAAAAACTTTTAATTTAATTTTATGGGGATTTAAACACCAGGGGAAGAATTCTATGGTTTTAGTTTAACGTACCTTTTATTGGAGTCCAGTTTTGGACCTCTACCCACTTGCATCTACTTCTTCATCCTGACCACCTCCCAGGTCCACCGAGAAGGAAACCGGCAGGAAGAACTAGTTTTATTTTTTGTTGTTTTCATTTAAATATTTGTAATAATACCTTTTAACTTCCTCTTCAAGGCTTTAACTTTTTATTAATAATAATCACGTTCATTTTTTTAAATAATAGTCCTTGTAAATTTATTAAAATATTTATTATTCATCAAGAGTTGAGAGGGTTGAGAAAACTCCAGGGGGTATAAATCTATGGCTGATTTTATAGTCACTAATAGAAAAATCCACCCAAAGCAAATTCTAGATATACGAACTTTAAACTCATCAGACGCAGGGAGTAAACACAAACTAAAACTAGCAAAGATAAGAATGAAAATAACACCAAAACAAAAATTTCCTACAGGAAATCATCGAGAAAAAATTCAATGTAGAATCACTGTGGAACGACTCTACAAGAGAAATGTACCAAAGGAGGCTAGCACAGAAGATACAGCTGAAACAAATAGACAACATCGAAAATATAAACGCGAGCTGGGTGAGAGATGAGAGAAAATTAAAAACAACATTAAAGAAGCAGTAAGAAGCTCTAGGAAAACGCAAAGTCATACTGAACAAAAAAGAAGCAACAACAATACACAATAGTTCAGAAAAGAAATAAAAGAGAAATGTAAAGAAAAACGAGAGGTCTACACGAGGTACAAAACATTAAATACCCCAGAATCTCGAGACAACTATAGAAGAATACGAAATGAAACAAAGCAGTTGGTAAGAAGAACAAAAAATAAACACTGGGAACAGATTACAAAAAGGATGGAAAGCGACTTCTACGGTACACAAAAACAAATATGGAGATTTATAAGAAACCAATGGAAAGAAATGGCAGAATTTAAGGAATACAATAACATTCCAGCAAACGAATGGGAAAGATACCTGACGGAAATGTTTAAAGCAAAGAAAAATAATAATCAACACAATAACGTACCTTAATTAAGACACGAAATAGAAATCAGTTTTCAGGAAATAGAAATAGCCATAAATTTGCTCAAAAATAGAAAGTCGCTAGGACCAAACGGAATATCCAACGAGCTTCTAAAATACGGATGAGAAAGTTTAACCCTAGAGATGACAAAACTTATACAAAAACTAATATTGCACTGCAAGATACCAGACGCATGGAGAAACAGCATAATGAT